AAAAAAAAAAAAGTTTCTTGATCATGAGGTTCAGTGCGGGTTTGGTGAAGGGGTTCCGTGACCCGTCGCGGATCTGCGCCCTGGCCCACCATCACCCCAAGGCGTGTCCTCGTGGTCCCTTATTTTGGGGCACTCATCGCCTGGCTTACTCCACCAAGGTGAAGAAAAACACGGCTTTTATCGATTCAATCACATCCTCGTTTTCATATCGTCGTCGCAGAATATATCTGCTGCCCCACCCTTCTTTTTTCTTTCATCTGGGAATAATCGGCAAAGATCGTCAAGATTCCATGAAACCCCCCCCCCCCCCCCAAAAATAATTAAAATACAGGTGGACTATCTCTGAAACGGAATTCGAAAGACTAGGAAAAAACTGTTGTAGAAATTTTCATTGTAGAGAATAACCACTATAACAGAGGAGAGAACCCTAAGCCCCCCCTGTGGCGGAATAATTCGGTACGTTAAAGTACCGCAAACCTATATGCTCATGGTACAACAAATTTGTCTGAAGATTTATTTAGATTAATCTAGAACATTTGAGATTTCACTTCTGTTTTCTGCAGATTCCTGGAAGGGGAGAGAACAAAAAACCATAGAAGGTCACTCTTCCAACATTTTTCAATATTCATTATTCCTGAGACAGTCTGACAAAAAACCATTATCAAATTAACTTGTATCCCTCTGATTTCCTGAGTGATTTTTATTGTGTGTGGTGTGATCAATTAATCTTGGGGTTAAAGTTTGAAGTACATCTTTATCTTTTCTCTTTGGGATTTCTTTATGAAATCCCCAGCTGATTCTGGTGTTTCATTTCCAAAATTCCGCCCTTTTGTGACATTTCAGCGACACACCCCCCCCCCTATGGGATCCACACATTTTTTCGTGATATATGCACACAGGAAATCGTTTCATAAACTGTTGCTGTTGTTCTTGTATTGCTTTCTTACCAAATCATCCTATATATAGTCAACAATTTTCTTAAGCATTATAGATATGCAGGTGGTACCTCGCAATTTGACTGTCTTCTTGCTATTTGACAGTTGAATTTTCAGGGAGGTTGACTTGCAATTTGACCCTTGCCCAACAATTTGACCTGCTTTAGCCACATTTGTTGCATTTTTGTACTTATATTTTTGAATTATCACAAAGTGTCTAGCAATTTGACCACTTTGCAATTTGACCCTAGTTTGGCAACGGATTAGGGTCAAATTGAAAGGTACCACCTGCATTAAAGTCAGATGAGAAATTTCCACTTCTATACCACAGTTTGTCAAAGCTACAGTATATGTAAGCAGATAAAAACAATTAAAACTTGAGCAAATTTTGGTAACAATATGGCGTGTGTGTTGGTTTGAGTTGCTGGTGGAATTGCTTCGCAGCAATTTTCTCTGTATAAAGAATTTTACTTTGGTCCCATATGGGATCCTTTGGGAAAAAATTGAAAGTACTTTTAGCAAATAACAGCAAAAATTATGGTTGAGATTCCACCAAACCCCCACAAAAAATAATAGAGTGGAATGCTATTTACTCTTCCATGAATTTTAGTTTTATTAAAATTTCAAGTTTTAAGTTTTTTTTTTTAATTTTCAGACTAAATAACTTTCCCTCCAGAAACAGTTTCTCATCAACCAATTGATTTCATATGTGATTGTCTTCATTTGGTGGAATATTTAGGTGCAAAGAGAAGCTGGAAAAAATTTATAATTTAAAAAACTTGTAATAATGGAAAAAATGGCGGTAAACTAAAAATGAATCTGTTTGTTGGATAAAAAATAAATGTATTCATGAAGTATCCAAAGGAACCTTTATTAAAATCCTCAGAACGAAATTCGGTATAAGAAGAAATTTCTCTTTTGATGAAAATGCAGAGCAATCTATTAAGTTTTACCTATTGCAAATAAGGTTATTAGATAATTTTTATCTTACGTTTTCTTGATTTTCGGTCAAATTAAAGATTCCGAAAATCAAAGTCCAGTGAATAAAAAAATGAAATAAGAACCTCATTTTATTCCGGAAGTGGTTCCTCGACTCCTAGATAAAGGCTCAAACGACTTCACGTTTCTTGGCAACTATTCAATTTTCTTTTACTATTGTTTTCCGGAATAGGTGACTTACTTGTAGTAAGTCACCAGACCAGCCTCCAGATTTTATTGGTTGATACATTTTTAAAACGTGTTCCTTTGAGACGCAGAAGAAAAAAATGTGGTCGGGTTCTATTAAAATGTTTCAAGGGTACGACGAACCGCTTGAGCAGGTTGTTTATCATGGTTTTTGATTATTCTTCTATATCCTTATAATCTCAACTTCCTGGTTTGGTTTACTGGAATGTCTCTGCTTTTGCTGCATTATTTACTGGAATCAAATTATGAGACACCATCGATTGTGATTTGTGAGACCCCTTTATTTTTCATATTTGGCGACATTTAAAATAATTTTTGGTTCTGCGAATAATTCATGCAAGACACTCTGTAGTTGTTGAACATTCGCTTTTTTCGGCATAATCAACAAACTATACTCTGATTCTTGAGAAATTTAAAAAGGTGTTCAAAACATATAATGCGGCTAAAATGCTGCATTTGTTCAAAAAATATACTGTATACATACTTTTGTTATTTAAACTGATGAAAAGTCATACAGATGTAAAAACTTAATTTTTATTATTATATTATGAAACTGGCTTTTTTAAATATCAGTTTCTGTTTTTGCATTTGATGACTTCTTTCAACAATACTGTATGTCCTTTTATAGAATTGGAGGTATAAGTTATTATTTTAAGCTATGAAAAGTCATACAGATGACTCACTTTTATTACAAGACTTGTTCTTATTACAGTGAAGCTTACACAAACTGATGTTTTTCAACCAGTTTGTGTTTTTATATTTGATGACATCCTTCAATGTCTTCTTGCAGATTTGTGGGTAAATGGCATGGCACTGTCACTCTTGAGTCCTTGACAGTCTTGTCATCATATGATTCAAGTGTGTCCTGCAATGCATTTACAACACCATGTTTGCATTGTGGTATTCTCCCAACATACAGTCAAACCCCGGTTAACGAACCCCCCGGTTAACGGGTTTTTGGTTAACGAACCACCGAAAATCAGCTCCATTTTTTGTCGAGTGGTCCGGTTAACAGACCGCCATTCGGTTAACAAACCACAGTCCGTTTTTCTGACTTTTAAAAATTCTTAAAAATTCAATTATTGATCAATTTTCAAATTTTTTCAAGCGTTGCATGCGCCAAGATGTTTTCTGCATATCCTATTTTTTAGCTGCCGAAATATAAAAATTTGACAGAATTACAATCAAAAATGTAAAAACATTTTTGAAAATCATACACAAATCATCAAAAAATGTTTTTACTTTTTGAATTTTAGCTGTTTTAATTTGCAACATTTTTCAAACACTTTTGCAAACTTTTGCAATGCATGGCTAGCAACAGTCTTGCTTAATGGTATATAGTCCCCAGTATAAATTCCTTATTTGACTGTCCTGGTTTCATTTATGTTTATGTGTGGTCATGCACCTTCTGCTTCCAAAGCATGAAGTCTATGAAGGAGTATCCAAACACTTCTTCCATATTCTTTGCTGGTTTGTTTTTTGTTGCAGATAGTTGAAGTTGGGAAATATATTTTTACTCACATTCACTATTAAAGAAGTACAGTATTATCATTTCATGTTGACCCAGCTATAAGAACTAAGTACTTCTGAACATAAGCTGATCTTATAATGGGTGATATCAGAACAAAGTATTGTAAATTGCTCTGCAAATGAGATGTTCAATGCGTTTGTATTTGCTCTGACAAATTCTGATAACTTTGGATAAAAGTCTCGAGATACAGCATTATAACTTGAATTAAAATTTTATAAATTAAATTATCCAAAGCCCTTCTACCTTTTTTTATACCCTGTTTTCCTGAGCAATCCTCAGAATTAATCCAAGCCCTATTGCTTTTATTTCTCAGGTAACGTAGCCTTCTGATCATTTTAGCAAGACTTCCTTTTTTCCAAGCTATCTGTATTAATAGTTGCTCAATCAGTATAAATTCCTTATTTGACTGTCCTGGTTTCATTTATGTTTATGTGTGGTCATGCACCTTCTGCTTCCAAAGCATGAAGTCTATGAAGGAGTATCCAAACACTTCTTCCATATTCTTTGCTGGTCTGGTATTTGTTGCAGATAGTTGAAGCTGGGAAATATATTTTTGCTCACACTCACTAATACAGTAAAGAAGTACAGTATTATCATTTCACATTGACCCAGCTATAAGAACTAAGTACTGTACTTCTGAACATAGGTTGATCTATAATGGGTGATATCAGAACAAAGTATTGTAAATTGCTCTGCAAATGAGATGTTCAACGCGTTTGTATATGCTTTGACAAATGCTGACAACTTTGGATAAAAGTCTTGAGATACTGCATTATAACTTGAATTAAAATTTTATAAATTTTAATTCAAATGAGATGTTCAACGCTCTTGTATTTGCTTTGACAAATTCTGATAACTTCGGATAAAAGTCTCGAGATACAGCATTATAACTTGAATTAAAATTTTATAAATTAAATAATCCAATAGAAGTCCTTCTACCTTTTTATACCTTGTTTTCCTGAGCAATCCTCAGAATTAATCCAAGCCCTATTGCTTTTATTTCTCAGGTAACGTAGCCTTCTGATCATTTTAGCAAGACTTCCTTTTTTCCAAGCTATCTGTATTAATAGTTGCTCAAGAAAAACTTAAATATTTTATTTGATATTGTTTTGTACAAAGATCTATATTTTTTATGGGACAACATTGGCAAAGGGAATATTCAAGTGCTTTAGCTGGGCATGATGAGGATTAGGATTCAATGCCAATCAAAGTTTTCTTTTGAAAAAATGGAAACAACTTTGATTTTTTTATACTGTATTTTAAATCACCTGAATGAAATCTGAAACATGCCCTGAAGTGAGGAAATTTTGTCAAAGGCCAATGAGACTTTTATTCTGTTTGTATTTTTCGAGGTGACCTGAGAAAATCCACACATCCACTTTATACACTTGTGTGATGATAACATCGTCGACACAGATGAGATGTCGAGACTCTCACACATTCAAGTTATTTGAGAACAAAACACCTTCCCGAGAATTTGAAGAACACTGCTGTTGCTTTTGTCTTTTTTACAGACACGTCAACTGGATGTTGCTGGGAAAGTGCTGGCAATCAGAAGGGAAGACCAGAGTGTGTGGGAAAGAAGAGCACCTTTGGCACCTGAACACGTCCGAAAATTGGTTAAAAATGGTGTCAAAGTTCTGGTGCAACCATCCAACAGAAGGGCTTATCCGATGCAGGTGAGTCGGGAATTACTTTCAATTTATGATTTGGCGATATCGACGAAATTCAGCACTGCTGCACAGTCTTGTAATAATATTTTCCATCGATAATAATGACAGTCTTTTAATTGAAAATAATTTTTCGAAATAACGCATGCAAACGGTCAACGCAAATTATAGGCATTAATTCAATCTTATTTCGCGTTTGCTTTTATCGTCTCTATAAAATAATATCAAATTTTGAACACGTCAAAACCAGGAAAAAAGAGAAGTTCGTTAAAAAAAAAGGATTATTTGCTGTTGCTGGAATGCCGAAAGTTTCAAATTTTCAAAAGATGATGGAGACGGGAAATTGCTGATTTTCAAGAAATCCTTCGTCTCAAAAATTAAGTTTTTTCGAAAAAAAAAATCGCTGCTTCAGTCACTTTTTTCGCTTTATCAAAAATTTCGTAGAGTGCGTATTTTTCGCTATCTGAATAATTCGTTGTGCGGGGACCCTTTTTACAAAAGATCCATGCCATCAAAAGTTTGCGTTCTCTTGAAATTTGTTGGAGGAGAAGGACTCGGATAACGATAAAATGACTCGCACAACGGCAATAATGAAGAGAGTAACGAAAATGACTGCCATGAAGAAAATCTCGCAACAAATATTTTTCAAAAAATTCCAAAAAATTTTGCGTTACAACTTTTGAAAATTTCTTTAAATTGACTTATATTTTATGAAAGAGGAAAGGAAAATTTGTGGAATTAGTAAATTTCAAAGAGCAGAAGCGAGAGCTAAAAAGAAAAATTACCAGGATCACTTATTGAAACATTCATCCTAGTCTCTTTTGTGTTTAAGATGTCATGATTTTTACTCGCTGATATGAACAGGTTTATTAAAGATCTTTTCAGACTGTCTGCAACGGATTAATTTTTTTCAATTATTGCTCGATGGGAATCACATTTTGCATTATTATTAGGGGAATTGGCAGTGTACGGATTAATTTAGTTTTCCCGGGGACCTGCTTCAAAAATCTAATGTTTTAGTATACTCAAATATGGTTTCACTGGAATGGTCTCTTGCACCATTTCAGGGGGTACTCGTGGTGTCACTGATGGATAAAAAGAAACCTGTTTTACAGCGTAGTATATAACCCTGGATCATTAAAAGCTCTGAGCAACAGTGGGGTAATTAAAAAAATTACGCGCATTTACCAGGGCTGGTTCAGAAATGTTGAAAATTTTTGACATATATCCAACACAGTTTCGACAATTCCAAGTTTTTTTTTCACTTGCATAGCCCCATCATTTGGCAACACTTCAATTCTGTTCAACATAATCTCCACCGATTTCAGTGCATTTTTTCATGCAATAAATCCAATGATCAAAACAGTGTCAAAATTGAATTATTTTAATATAGTTGATTTAACTGCTATTTGATGGCAGAAATGAGGTTGTTGCTGTCTGCAAAATCAGTACCTTTCAGATTGATTTTACCCGGTGCAAGTACAGTGAGACCCCCACATGCGGACACCTAGACCTACGGACAATTTGACATAGGGACACTTATTTTCTCTTAAAAAATTAATCAAAAAGGCCCAACATGAGGACACTGTCTCAACATAGGGACATTTTGTTATAAAATTGCAAATACATTTCAGGCCAAAGTCGGATTATTTTTGTCTGCTGGGCCAATTTAAGTTTTCTGAAGGTCAGAAAAGCCCTTCCAGGTGGGCTGAGGCGAAATCAGTGACAACTTCTTTGAAATACAGTACCTTTCTGATTAAAAAAAATGAAAAACTTCTCGCGCACTGTGGGTTGACTATATTATTTACAGGTACAGCATATTTCCAACCCTAAAATTGATGTAAGAAAAGTTCTTGGGCATTTCTCTCGCCAATTTACCATCCATTTAGCCAATTACAAAAAATTACCTCCAGCAGAGAGGGACTTCATTCTCTCTTTTCCACTTGAACATTATTTTTACAGCCAATATTTTTAAGTACTGTACTGAGGTAACAATATTCAATTCCCTAAATGTCCATATTGTGTTGAAATATATTGATTGGAATCAGTTTAAATTTGGAGACAATTTTTATTTTCATGGAATTATGGTGAGTATTTTGTACATAAAACAACAATTAAAATTATTTTATGTGAGTCTAAGGGAAAATGAGACTCAACTTTGGGACATTTCAACTTAGGGACACTCTTTATGCACAAATTACGTCCGCATCTCGGGGTCTCACTGTAATTTTCATTTTGATTTTTTTATGTAACAACCGCAAGAAAAGTTTGCTTGGAAAAATGCATTTAAATTTGTGGAGAGTATGTTATGTTGAATAGCACTGAAGTGTTGCCAAATGATGGGACAATGCAAGTAGAAAAAAAATAACTTGGAATTTTTGAATCTCTGTTGGATCTATGTCAAAAATTTTCAACATTTATGAACCAGCCCTTGTAAATGCGCGTAATTTTTTTAATTACCCCACCGTTGCTCAGAGCTTTTAATGATCCAGGGTTATATACTACGCTGTAAAACAGGTTTCTTTTTTATCCATCAGTGACACCACGAGTACCCCCTGAAATGGTGCAAGAGACCATTCGAGTGAAACTATATTTAAGAATACAGTATATAGTTGGAGAGTGAAATATTAGGCTTTTGAATATTTTAATTTTTTCATCAGTTTTTTGTCCCCGGAACGCTAAATTAATCCGTACACTAACAATTCCTCGACCTAATAGTAATGCAAAATGTGATTTCCATCGAGCAATAATTGAAGAAAAAAAATGAATCCGTTCCAGACAGTCAAAAAAATCTTTAATAAACCTCTTCATATCAGTGAATAAATAGAATGAAATTTTAAACACAAAAAAGACTAGGATGAATGCTTCTATATAAGTGATCCTGGTATTTATTTATTTTATTTTTTGCTCTTTTAAATTTACTGATTCCACAAATTTTCATTTCCTTTTTCAGAAACTATATGTCAATTGAAAGAGCTTTTCATATGTTGAAACGCAAAATTTGTTGGAATTTTTTTAGAAATTTTTGCCGCGAGATTTTTTTCAAGACAGTTATTTTCGTTGCTCTCTTCATTGCCGTTATGCGAGTCATTTTATCGTTATCCGAGTCCTTTTCCTCCAACAAATTTCAAGAGAACGCAGACTTTTGATCGCATGGGTCTTTTGTAAAAAGGGTCCCCGCACAACGAATTATTCAGATAGCGAGAAATCCGCACTACGAATTTTTTGAAAAAGCGGAAAAAAAGTGACTGAAGCAGCGTTTTTTTTTTTTGAAAAATAACGTTATTTTTCAGACGAAGGATTTCTTGAAAATCAGCAATTTATTGTCTCCATTATCTTTTGAAAATTGAAACTTTCGGCATTCTAGCAGCAGCAAATAATCCTCTTTTTTTTAACGCAATTCTCTTTTTTTCTGGTTGACGTGTTCAAAATTTGATATTATTTTATAGAGACGATAAAAGCAAACGCGAAATAATATTGAATAAATGCCTATAAAATGCGTTGACCGTTTGCATGCGTGATTTCGAAAAATTATTTTCAATTGAAAGACTGTCATTATTATCAATGGAAAATATTATTACAAGACTGTGCAGCAGTGCTGAATTTCGTCGATATCGTCAAATCATAAATTGAAAGTAACTCCCGACTCACCTGCATCGGATAAGCCCTTCTGTTGGATGGTTGCACAAGAACTTTGACACCATTCTTGACCAATTTTCGGACGTGTTCAGGTGCCAAAGGTGCTCTTCTTTCCCACACACTCTGGTCTTCCCTTCTGATTGCCAGCACTTTCCCAGCAACATCCAGTTGACGTGTCTGTAAAAAAGACAAAAGCAAGAGCAGTGTTCTTCAAATTCTCGGGAAGGTGTTTTGTTTTCAAATAACTTGAATATGTGAGATTCTCGATATCTCATCTGTGTCGACGATGTTATCATCATACAAGTGTATAAAGTGGATGTGTGGATTTTCTCAGGTCACCTCGAAAAATACAAACAGAATAAAAGTCTCATTGGCCTTTGACAAAATTTCCTCACTTCAGGGCATGTTTCAGATTTCATTCAGGTGATTTAAAATACAGTATAAAAAAATCAAAGTTGTTTCCATTTTTTCAAAAGAAAACTTTGATTGGCATTGAATCCTAATCCTCATCATGCCCAGCTAAAGCACTTGAATATTCCCTTTGCCAATGTTGTCCCATAAAAAATATAGATCTTTGTACAAAACAATATCAAATAAAATATTTAAGTTTTTCTTGAGCAACTATTAATACAGATAGCTTGGAAAAAAGGAAGTCTTGCTAAAATGATCAGAAGGCTACGTTACCTGAGAAATAAAAGCAATAGGGCTTGGATTAATTCTGAGGATTGCTCAGGAAAACA